GGGGGGTTTGCTGGCACTGACCAGTGACGTGATGGTAGAGCTCGGTTTGTTTCACTATGACAACATTCATTTTAGACAAACATGTTAAATTTCAGACAAAACCGAACTTAAGCATTAAATGTTATAGCAGTAGAAATTAAAACTTATATCTGTCACCTTTCAGAGCTGAAAAAAGTCCACATTGAGGTGAAGGAGGACATTGCTGCTCCTCCTCAGCCTGCCGCTAGTGAGGATGAAGAGGAGGAGGAAGAAGAGGATGAAGATGATGATGACGAGGAGGAAGATGAAGACGATGAGGACAGTGAGGAAGAAGCTGAAGTGGAGAAGCCAACGGTCGCAAGCCAGGGTAAGAGGAGGGCGCCGAGCGAGGATGAAAGCAGCGAGAGCGAGGACGATGATGGCAGGACGAAAGAGGAGCGACTGTACGACCGCGCCAAGAGGAGGATAGAGGTGAGAGACACTGCAAAATCAGGGGGAGTGACAGGATCTCTCTCTATACCCATCTCTGACTGACGGGTTCTGTTTGTCTCCTTAGAAACGCCGAGTGGAGAACATGAAGAACATCGACTTGGAAACGCTGAGGGCACCAGTGGTGTGTGTGCTCGGACACGTCGACACCGGCAAGACCAAGATCCTGGACAAGGTGATGTTTACTCTCTGCTTACAGAATTTTTACCAACTGTTCCTGAAGATACAACGTTTACTTATTGTTGTTTGTTCTTGTTGTTTGCGTGCAGCTCCGGCACACCCACGTTCAGGATGGCGAGGCTGGAGGAATCACTCAGCAGATCGGAGCCACAAACGTCCCGAAGGAGACCATCGAGGAGCAGACAAAGATGGCTAAAAACGTATGCCATCTCCCTCTGAACAATGAATAAACTGTGTTTATGGTTACTGTGTATTAACCCCTGTGATATTTGTGCAGTTCAACAAAGAAAGCATCAAAATCCCCGGCATGCTGATCATCGACACACCTGGACACGAGTCCTTTAGGTAACGCCCGTCTCTCCTGACTTGCCTGTCTCACTCGCCTGATTCTGTCTGTCGCTAACTGATCTCTCTCTCTGCAGTAACCTGAGGAACAGAGGCAGTTCACTGTGCGACATCGCCATCCTGGTGGTGGACATCATGCACGGCTTGGAGCCTCAGACGCTGGAGTCCATCAACCTGCTGAAGGAGAAGAAGTGCCCCTTCATCGTTGCCCTCAACAAGGTCTGCCAGCTCCTCGACATCAGCCTCACCTTCTTTTTCTTCTTCTCGTGCAAATTTTCTGAGATTGATTTTTTTTTTATTGCCGTTACCAGATCGACCGCCTCTACGACTGGAAGAAGAGTCCAGAAACCGATGTCGTGGCTACACTAAAGAAGCAGAAGAAGAACACAAAAGACGAGTTTGACGAAAGAGCCAAGGCCATCATTGTGGAGTTCGCACAACAGGTGTTGATCATCACATCATCATTTATCAGCCAATCACAGCACAACAATGAGAAATACTTATTCATTATGGTCATTGGGCCATTTACTTCCATTCAGTTCCAGATGATAACAGTCTAATAGCAAGTTTTTCTAATGTTTCATTAAAGAGCGTGAGTTAGACAAGAAAATACATAATATACTTAGTATCTATTTTGTATTTATGTATATACTGTATATAATATATACTTACTACTTAGAATATTATACTACTTATAATTAAATATAATCAAAATGTTATTCAAATGGGTAAAACAAAGATTTTTACTGTTTTTATTCAACAAAATAAGCTTCTCAGCAAGTTTTATTATATTATAAAGTCTCCCTAAAAAGTTTTGAACCTGCATTATATAGTAATCTTTTTCACAGTCTGAAAGGAACAGCATGATGATAAGATTGGATGATAACATTTTGTAGTTTAGGGCAGCCTGCATTGAGGCTTGAGGAACACCAAAGACGACATCAAGCTCACTTTCCCTGAACTTTGTTTTCTGTGTGCTGTTTGTCCTCAGGGTCTTAACGCCGCCTTGTTTTATGAGAATAAGGACCCCCGTACATTTGTATCGTTGGTTCCTACGTCAGCCCACAGTGGTGATGGTATGGGAAACCTCATCGCCCTATTGGTTGAGCTCACCCAAACAATGTTGGCCCGGCGGTTAGCGCACTGTGACGAGCTGCGAGCTCAGGTCATGGAGGTGAGTTCAATTTGATCTGTTGTCTCTCCTTTTTCCATTCCTCCACCGTCCAGACACTAACTCCATGTGATCTTTGTGTGTTTAGGTAAAAGCGCTGCCCGGTATGGGAACAACAATAGATGTCATCCTGATTAACGGTCGTCTGCGGGAAGGAGAGACCATCATCGTACCAGGGGTGGAAGGGCCCATCGTCACGCAGATCAGGGGGTTGTTGCTGCCACCTCCACTGAAGGAACTCAGAGTGAAGGTAAACATGTCTTAAATTTTGTTAGAGCAGCTTTTAAACATGTATCTGGCTGAGATGTAGCGGGAAGATTTTATACTATAATGGCTTTGAGTTAAAGTACTCATGGTGTTTAAAGCAGTCAGTTCAACAAAACCTGCTTGTATCTTTTTTAATGCAGCTTCCCTCACGTGTATATGAGGGAAGTGACTGTAGGTAATTGTTTAGCAGATAACGATTTGTGTGACACTTTCCCAGGCAAAGCGCTTTATATTAAAAGCATTAAAAAAGGAATTTAAGTAACACAGTCAACGTTTAAAAAAAATAAATTAATTTAATTTAATCCAGTAACCCTGCTGATACAGGTTCACTGCCACTACAGCCAATATATGATGATGGGGCTCCCCCTGCTGGCACATTATACATTTGTTTCTCCTCATTTGTTCATTTGTTCTACTTGTGTGATTATTTTTCATATTTGATCATAAAAGATTTTTCTTTAAAACTAAAAACAAAAACTTAAGGCTGATTTAAAAACGGTATCCTGGACCGTGGGAAACTTTTCTCTGACAAACAGCTTAAAGTTGCCCACAATAATAGTTGTATTTTTCTCTAAATCTAAAAGAGTGAGGAATGAGAAGACTGTACTTTGAATTTTCTAAAATGATGCTTTTAAGGTGAGTTATATGGTGAGTTTTACTAACAGGAGCCAAATTAATTCATGCAAAATGCACACTTTTATTATGAAATGGTTTTTAATGACTGCATACACATATGTCAGATTAGGTTAGACAGTCTTTGCCTTTACTGCAGAAGGCCAACCATACACACTGTTGTTGTTTTTCCGAGTGCATCAAATGCCACTCATTGAAGGCTTGTTCATCTAAGTCAGTCTGCGGCTTTTTCCTGTCAGAAATAAGACTGTGCTTTAAATTTCCAGCAGAGCTTTGTTTATTCTCTCACATTGAGAGTTAATGGTGTTGAGACTGGCCAGAAATCACTTTCAATTATTTATTTAACCAGAAAATTAAAGAGAACAAAAAAACAAGAGCCATCAAAGCTCGAGTATCTCATTATGGAGCTCTAACTTCTTGTACATATGCATTGTTTTTCAGCATAAACATGTCTTTTTTGACATTTGTCTAAAAAAAAAAAAAAAAAAGGACAAGTCAAGTATTTTACTATGTTCTGCAATCCAAAAAACCATCCTGGTTTTAATTGCTTTTACACTTCATTGTTCTTATTAATGTTTTTAAGCACTCAGGTTTACCAAACTCAGCATGAGGGACTATGTGTGAAGAAACAAGATCAACCTTTAGTGGTGGTGAATGATGGAGAAGTGCACTTTATCATTAGACATGAATTCACTTCTACTCATAGGCTACGTCCACACTAGCCCGGATATATCTGAAAACGCTCCGCGTCCACACTAGCGTTTTCAGCCGTTTTCACAGAGTTGTGCGTCCACTTTGAAACAGCCTAAAACGCTTATGTTCCAGTACTGCGCATGCGTGAAACGCAAGACGATTCAACGTGCCTCATTTCTGTCTGCCGCTTATTTACTTTACGGCTCATACAAACGCCGTGGCAAAATGTTGAGGAAAAGCACCGAGTTTTTTAAATGGACTAATGAGGTGGAGTTGTTCCTGCGAATAACACAAAAGTACAAAGTTGCAAAAGCGAGTGAGAATTAAAGAATTTGAAGAAAAGCTATCTGGAGCATGTACAGATTGATATTAATCTTTAATAGGACTGTCAAAATTGAGAGCAAACAAAACAACTGCTGTATAATGCCCTCTGCTCTCTTAGCTTAATTGGTCACATCACTGAAATGTGTCATCGTTTTCGAAAAGGCTCCGGGTTCGATGTCCACACTGCGACGCAAAAACGGCATTTTCAAATGTTCTGCTTTGGAGAGTCTCGGTGTGGACGGGAGGCCAAAACTGAGAGAAAAAGATGCATTTTCAAACGAAAACGTATTAGTGTGGACATGGCCATAGTCTCTGCTTTTTGGACTTCATAAATGTATCGACTGTGGTTGACGTGTTGATTGGTTGTTGTGTGCAGAACCAGTACGAGAAGCACAAGGAGGTGTCGACGGCTCAGGGTGTGAAGATTCTGGGGAAAGACTTGGAGAAGACGTTGGCGGGGCTCCCCCTGCTGGTGGCTCACAAGGATGACGAGATCCCCGTCCTAAGGGTAACAGTGCTTTTGCCTTTAGTCCAAGTTAAACTCCAACACAAGGACTGAACTGGTCCTGTAAGACTCCCGGTTTACTTACATGTGCTGGTTTTCAGGATGAACTGGTGCGAGAGCTTAAGCAGACTCTGAGCTCTATCAAACTGGAGGAGAAAGGTGTTTACGTCCAGGCATCGACGCTGGGATCGCTGGAGGCTCTGCTCGAGTTCCTGCGGACATCCAAAGTCCCCGTAAGTACCTGACAGTACAGCTGAGAGCTCTTATTTTGAAAAACTACAGGAAGTAGAAACTAACAGTCCTTGACCTTTGAACTGTGTGTGTGTGTGTGTGTGTGTGTGTGTGTGTGTGTGTGTGTGTCCCTGCAGTACGCTGGCATTAACATTGGCCCAGTTCATAAGAAGGATGTGATGAAGGCGTCAACCATGTTGGAGCACGACCCGCAGTACGTCACAGTATAAACACACACTCAGCCAAAATGAACACAAGTTAGTTAGTGCAGAAACACTGTAGAATCTGCACCCACAAATATCTGCTAATTCTAATTTAAAAATATTTCGGACAACTATTAAAATATTTTATGACCAAAAAGAAAAAAATCTGAATACATTTCACAGATGTCCTTGTATCTCTGTTAAAATTAATACTGGTGGAGCACTGGTGTAGAACCTGTAGATGTGACAGAGTTTTGGGGGGTTGGTGTTGGCAGGTACGCGGTGATCCTGGCCTTCGACGTGAAGGTGGAGCGGGAGAGTCAGGAGATGGCTGACAGTCTGGGAGTTCGCATCTTCTCTGCTGAAATCATCTACCACCTATTTGATGCTTTCACCAAGTACAGAGAAGACTACAAGAAGGCCAAACAGGACGAGTTTAGGTAAGAAAAGCTCACGTTTGCGTTAATTGTTCAGATTTCTTTGGGTATTTTTGACTTTTTATTGACTGGAATAACAAGCAACATACTATAACATAGTGATGGAGACTCCAAAAGGCTTTTATTTATCCACTGCAGTTAATAAGTCTTTTTTGTATATATGCAAATATATGATGGTGTCCTTTCACAGAATAACTTCTGTTTAACTAACCCTGTGTTTTTAATTATCTATAATACATTTGTAGATGATTCTATTTGTTATTATTGGTTGTAAAAGTCAGTTTATATGCAGATGATGCTCTTGATTTCTTTTCACACACATGAAAATGGAGCACATCAGTGTGGTAATTAGGCTTCAGTAACAATGTGACTGTGATCGATTCATTTTACTTAAGGGTTGTTCGAGGGTTAATGTGTTTTTTTTATCTGTGTCATCAGGCATGTTGCCGTGTTCCCAGTGAAGCTGCGAGTTCTTCCTCAGTTCATCTTTAACTCCCGAGATCCCATTGTGATGGGCGTCACAGTGGAGGCTGGAGTCCTGAAACAGGGAACGCCCCTCTGCGTCCCCAGCAAAGCGGTAAGACCCGCTTACAGTCTCTGTGGCTGTTTGTGTGAACTATAAAATGAACTGTAAACTAACCCTTTGTGTTCACATGTCAGTTTGTGGACATCGGTGTGGTCACCAGCATCGAGATAAATCACAAGCCCGTTGACACTGCCAAGAAGGGCCAGGAGATCTGCATCAAGATTGAGCCAATCCCAGGAGAGTCGCCAAAGATGTACGGGCGCCATTTTGAAGCCACAGACATCATCGTCAGCAAGGTGAGGACACGCCCTTAAAGGAGGAACAGAAGAACGTTAGACGAGAGGCTTCACAAAAATCACAATTACCGTGAACACTGCTGTTCACTCCGCCGCTAAAAGGTCGATTTCAGTCAGTGTCCAGGTAGCAGTGTTAGGAAGAGGAGACAGAAAAGCAAGGAAGAAATAGAGCCTAAATAAGGGGAAAGAAGGAGAGGAAGGGTAAGAATATCTTCGTGTCTTTCGAGTTAGTCAGGCCAAGAATTTCATGTAGTTTTTCTGTTTTCTGTAGAACAAAAGCAGAGACGTCCAGACAGTGAAATAAAACCTGGTGCTGCTTTTCAACTGTGTTTAAACAAGTTTTACGTTGTGTTCACTTTAATTTCTCTTTGGTTTTACTGTCAAAAAATGGTTGTAGCAGCAGGCTGCTAATAGAGGCAAACTTAAATGTGGGCTCAGAGTTTTTAGAGCAAAGAATGAAAGGCTGTTTCTGGTTATTTTAACAACCTCTTTGTTTTTGTTTCAGATCACACGGGCGTCCATCGACGCTCTGAAGAACTGGTTCAGAGACGAGATGCAGAAATCTGATTGGCAGTTGATCATGGAGCTGAAGAAGACCTTTGAGATCATCTGAGGGACCTGAACTACAAAAACACACACTCGCTCTTCCTCCATTAGACGACAAGGCAGCGGCGGCGACCAACGGAGGAACAAAGAGAAAAAATTGAAAAGAGAAAAAAAAAAAGCAGATAAAAGACGTGACAGTGTTTTTCTGTGAGAAACGAACAGTTTTTTCCACTGTTGTAAACAGTGATAGTTTAGACATAATTCTCACACACACACACACACACACACACACACACACACAGTATTCCAACGTGCCTGTTCTTTAGCATCAACGTTTTTGTTTTTTTTTTTCCTTCTTGTTGTCTGCTCTGATATGTGGCTGCTGCTTCGTATCCCAGGCTCCGCCCCTTCTTACCCAGACTGAGGCTCACGAGCTTAATGAGGCTGATGTGCCACCTGAACAGGTGCATTATGGGATTGTGCTGTGCAGCACCAGGCCTCAAAAGGGAAACAGTTTTTCTGTTTCTTCTTACAGCATCAGTGAGGACGGCGCCGACTTTACAGACATTGAAGAGTTGACTTTCTCTTTGCTGTCCTGCTCGGCGGCCATGTTGGGAGGCCAGGTTGGCGTGGGATGATGGGGTGAATGACAGATTTTAAACTGTTTTTGCTGCAACTGCTGATGTAATAAATTCCCATGATTCTGACGAAACATGCAGAGTTTTCGGTTCATGTGTGCCACAAACACTAAAGATACAAATCTGTCTATATGGAAGTCTGCTGATGCCAAAATAAAGTAATTAAAAATAATTATTAGAATTAAAAATACTGTTGTTTTCCTTTCAAAATGATGCTGTATTGTTTGCAGAACATTCTTAATATAAGTGTACAAGTTTGATACGTGGGACTTTTCTGATCTCATGTGCACGCTACATGAAATCGTATATTCTAACTTATGGTTAAAAAGTTGCATGAAGGCTGGTGTACATCCTGCTTCAATGGTCTTTATCTTGGAGTGGACGCTTAATTAGTACCAGTGGTGTCGGAAGTAACTCAGTGCTAGCTAACTAAAAGCAGCTGATCTTTATCAGGTATTGAAATTATTGTTACACTGTTTTATGTTTTATGTGTCATTGTTTTCACTGTAGATGGTGACTTATTAGCCTCACAAGTGGTCAGAGGATTGATTGGTTGAAAATATTTACAAACTTGTGCTGCTAGCCAAGCAGTCACATTTCCAGTGAGTTACTGAGGGTTTATGCTTCAGCAGGAAATCTACGTTGTAGCGATGTCATAACTGCAGACCCCTCTGAAACTTCACAGAATAACCTGATGTGCGCCTTCCTGAAAATGTAACTATACACCTGTTCAGTGCCGTCTGTCTTCTGTGCATTTCCTCTTTTTTTTTTTTTACTGCAGTTTTTGAATTGATCAGTGAGAGGATCAATCATTCTCCAGCATATAGAGTAACAATTATAGCATCAAAATAAGGATTCAAAACTGTCAAATTCCCAGAGAGCAATTGCTGAAGCTGTAAAAATGAAGGTGAGGGAATGAAAATAAAAATATATCTACCTCTGAAAACAAAACTGACCATAACAAAGACAAAGCACCCAGGAGGGGAAAAAGTCCCTGCATTTTATTTGTTTCAGCTGCCACCGCATATAAAACATGCAGAGATGATCAAAAGAATTAACACACAATGAACCAATAGAAGCATGAATGCTTGTAACAGGGCAGGCCACCATGTCTAAATCAGGGCTCGTACTGTTCAATTAAAACACTTCTAATGTTGTACTCTTAAACAAGTAAGTGTGCTAATGAAAGAATCAAAATTAATGTTTACAATCTGTTTATAATAGATAGACACAATGGAAGTATCATTATTGCAAATGTTTTCATTTTCCTGAAGTCTCTATTTTTCATTCAGTCTTCACAAACCAATACCTGTTATATTATTACTGTGATAAACAAGGTGTTTGTGGTTGTGAGTAAATTAAATGTTAAGTGGCATGAGTGTCAGTCATCTGGCTGGTAAATTTACTAACCAACAATTGTCAAATTGTGTTACAGCTAACTGGCTAACGTTAGCAAAAATGTTGACAGTAAACTTGCTAACATCATACATGATCTTCTGTTTGTTGGTGAGAGACAACAATAATACACTCACCAGCCACTTCAACAGTTTGTTAATACAAATCAGCCAATCAGTTGGCTGCAACTAATTGCATTTAGGCATGTAGACATGTTCAAAACGACTTGGTCGATCCCCTTGGAGCTAATAGGGAGACAGTAGTAACTCAAGTAATCACTGATCACATCCAAGGTAGCAGAAGAAGGAGAATACAGAAGAGCATTTCTGAATGCACATCAACAGATTGGGTGCCATTCCTGTCAGCTAGGAAGAGGAATCTGAAGCTACAGTTTCACATAGGCTTACAAAATTTCCACAATAAAAGACTGCAAAAACTGTTGCCTGCTCTGATGAGACATGCTGCTGTGAGATTCAGATGGTAGGGTTAGAATTTGAGCAATATGAAAGCATGGATCTATCCTTCCTTATATCAAAGGTTCAGACTGGTGGTGGTGGTATAATAGCATGGGGTTATTTCCTTGGCACTTTGTCTAAACACCACAGCCTACGTGAATATTTTTTGCTGACCATGTCCATCCCTGTATGACCATAGTGCACCAGTCTTCCAATGGCTTCTTCCAGCATGATAGCACAAAGCTCAAATCATCTCAAACTGGTTTCTTGAACATGACAAGGACTTCATTCTACTCGAATGGCACCAGAGCATCTTTGGGATGTGTTGGAACGGGAGATTTCCATCATGGATGAACAGCTGAAAAAAATCTGCAGCAACTGCAGTATACCAAATAAAGTGATTGTTGGACATAAACTATAGTAAAACTCTCTTTATATTCAGGCAGTACCACAAAATGTCAAAGTCACTAAATAGTCCGTTATATAGTGAATAGTGAGTAATTTAGTTCTTATGTCAAACTCAAGGATGAATCCGTTCTACCATCTTTGATATCAATCTGCACCATAACTCAGGAGCTGATTTCTCTACCAGTTTGAAATTGTGCCGAGCTCCTGACTGGAATTTTGTTTGAAGCATCTCTATTTTACAGTTCACCACATTATCAATAACTGAAGCATCAGGTGATGTTGTAACTATAACTTACTGTTCAATCATGATCAACTGTATTGGCAAATATCAAAATATGGTCATGCATAAATAATATGGAAACACAGCAGAAGGAAAAAAAAGACAAAATAACTTACATTTAAGTCAGATTAGTTTATTTATATAGCTCTACCACAAAATACACATCTGTACAGCCAAAAAAAGCCTCCATACTTAGACTCTTGAGTTCGATGAAGAATAGGAAATAATACCTCAAAAGGAAAGATGGAGGAAAACTTGACTGATTGGTGGGGGCATCCAACCACAGGGCAATATTTGTGGTCTGATGAGTATCTCCTGTTGGTTCATTTGGGACATCATAACAACATAACACACAGTAGCCATTTTCTCTTGAGACCCCTCGGGTCATTAGGTTTTTAATTAGGGCAGCAAACAGTAAGTTTGTTGTTTGCATGAGAAGACATATTTCAGTCTAAAAGTTGAGTAGTTAGAGCTTTTATGTATTAAAGGAATTGTGTTTTATGCTTAATTTCTCAACATTTTTATGTTACAAAATAAAATCTCTGGAAATAAAGAAAAATGTTAACTTACCATAAAAGTTTCTACACGTGACTGAGGTGGAAACTTTGTGCAGCTAAAATGAGATTTTCAAACATTGCTGATCTCACTTCATTTGTATTTTTAATACTATACATTCCCCTAAATCTGTCTTTTAAAGTGCTTTAAGATTAGCAAAGGTAAAGCGAGTAGCAGTAGATTTTTTGTGTCCACTGTTAACACTGGATATTGCTTAAAAGGTTTTTTAAAGATAAGTTTGACTTCATTGTCTACTTTACTTAAAAGATTCAATACTATGATGAATCAGCAGCGGGAATGAAAAGTCCGTGGAGGTCCATGTGGACAGTGGTGGGGATGGAGGCTCGGGCGATCTCCTCAAACGTTTTGGCATCGAGCACGAGCATGAACGGAGAAATGCTGGGATCCGCAGAAACAATGGATGACAGGATGACTCCTGGATAAGGAAAAAATACAATGGAAATACACATTTTGCTCTATTATTGTGGTTTCTAAATATATAAGTTTGTGTGCTTGACAGCGTAGCTCTCACCATCATCTTCCTCCACAGCTCCGGGAGATGCGACGAACACTGGCTCTGAAGGATAGCAGTCTTTCTGCACCCATTCAACGTGTTTCCTTTCAACGATGTCAAACTTGGCGATCTGTTGGGTCATAGTGTTAAAGCAGCAGACCTCAACAACCTTAAAATAGATCATCCTAATTTTGGTTCAGGCATTCACTGTCCTCACAGATTTGAGTATTCAGCACCATACTAGGCCAACAGTAACTGACGTTTTCACTTTATTTGTTTGAAAATGCTGACTGAATGATTTAGTTTGATTAGTTTAAGATTAAGATTAACATTTTTCATCCTCATATGTGCATCTGTGGAAGTTATAGTGCATAAAATACAGCCAGCGTCGTAGTTGTTTCTAGCACTTGAAGATACCTATTGTCGTTTTCATGTAAAGAAACAGAATTTGCGTTACTGACTGATATTCAATTCATTTTTCCTACAAAACTTACAAAACTTTCCCAAAGCTGCCCCCACCCCATCCCCCTGTTTCCGATGTTGAAATGGAGGCCTTGACCAGTAGCGGTTTTAGATACGGGCGACACGGGCGGTTGCCTGGGGTGGCATCGTGGTGGGGGGCGGCATCACGGACATCGGCAAAAAAAAAATAAAAAAAATAAAAAATTGCTCCTACTCATGCTGCCCCGACATCAGCCAGCGCATA